ACTGTCATTAAATTTGGCATGTAGCTGAAAATTAAATTTTATCTTCCAACCTTCTGTTGGTATTTTTGGTCAGCATTATATTATATCCAATTTTTAAGTACTACTAAAGCAAGACAAATACTATTTAATAAATGCCTTTAACAATATAAAGCTTGAAGGAAAATACAGAGTTAACTTGGTGCAACTGGATTATAGCCTTAAGACTCGACAATTAATTAAAAACTAATAAACTGTTCTTATAATATGGTTTATTCTATAATAAATGCCATTTAGAATGGGGGAGGGGAGTTCATTGAGTACTCTGAAAAAATTACGATGCTATATTAACTTGACGGGAAATGACAGTTATTATCGGAAATGTTATATTTAAATAATTCATAACAACAGAAATGAAATAATGTGCTTTATAATTATAGTTCAAAGTTGATTTATATTAAGATTCAATCAATGTAACTTGATTTTGAAGTAAAAATTCAATATGTAGAAATACTCCTACAAAAATTTCCTTATGTACATTAAAATCAAGGTCTTCAATTGTCATTAAATGATTTATTTCGGTTTTTTTTTTTTGTAATTAATTTCTATATTTTTGGAGTGGTATGCATTATAAAGTTAGAAGGGTGTTTCCTACATTAACGAATGTATCTCGCTTTAATATGCATTCAATTTAATGTGCTTATATATATGCATGTCTTTTTCAAAGATGACTTTGAGTTGCTTTCATCTACGTCATTTGGTCCTTTGTGAATAGTCTCAATGGCAATCTTACCACAGCTTTTTATTTTGATATTTAAATTCTCATCTACTGGTACATAATATAAATTCATCAAAGATACCAGATTTATGATAAAGTATGCAGACATGCATTTCATCTAAATAAAGATGACATGCCTACTTTTCTTTGTTGATATTGTGTTAACACTGAAAAGGATGATTATATACATGGAAAGATTTTGTAAGCTAAAAAAAAAAAAAAAAAAAAATCTGTGGTTAAATATTAAACAAGAAAATGGTTACCATTGAGGCTTACAAAATTTTAGCATGTATGAGGTCTTTTTTGGGGGGTAATTTGAAAACGAAGGAAAATAGTCATCAAATCTCAGTAAACCAACAAACTGAAAATGAGCATGTAGGTGATTTAATGACCCTGATAATGTGCTGGTACCTCACGTACCATAATGACAGCTCTTTATTAACATGTATTTTAGTATGACATCATGCTATATAAAGGCTAGAAAATGTTAAATCAGACCAAAGAAGAGCGTTGTTCAAACATAGAAATCTGGAGAGGATATACATTAAGTCGTAATAGTCCATTATACAAATGGATGTTTTTACTTGGGTTTACCATTGTATGCGTAAGAATGTCCACAAAAAATGCAAACACTGTGTCAAGATTTAGAAAATATTTCAAATTGAGTAATATCAAGTAGATATGTGATTATCTAGTGCTATTATATATAGGTTTGACAGATTCAATCAGGTTTAAGTTGATTTCAAAATATTTGGTTGTATATATTTTAGAAGGTACTTTGACATAACTTTCAAATGGATAGGACGTAAGGGTTTTGCTACACACAGGTGTTCTTGAGACGATATACTGTGTAACCTTGTATAAAGTTGGTTCTTAAGTAAGTGTATGTAAAGTTGTCCTGTTTCTGAGCAAAGAAAAACACTAAATCTGGATGAAGTTTAGTGGATAGTTGTCTCATTGGTTAATCATTCCACATCTTCTTATTTTTATATTTTCATAGATATATTTATCTAAATATGCAGAATAAAATAATAAAATCTGTTCTTGCATAGGCAGATCCCGGGGAGGGGGGACCCCTTTTGTGGGAAAAATTTGGTTGATTATATAGGGAATCACTGAAGCATGACTGTAGCGGGCTCCCTCTTATGGCAGTCAATGGGCCCCCCTTATAAAAAGTTCTGGATCCACCACTGTTTTGACATGTTTCAATTCAATTTGTTTAGACAATATCTGATGAGGCATGTGAACAGAGGCTAATTATCAGGTTGCTGCATCTAATGTACAGGTGGGATTGTTTTCATGGATGTTCTATTGTCAACACCTGAGGGTATCTGAATGTAAGACATAAATTAGGTGTTAATAAGTTCAGTCAGTCAGACATTTGTTTGTTTGAATTATTTGTGACACCTGAAATAATTGGGTAACAGATGGACAGAAATTAAGGTGGAATTATTTCATACACAATTCTGTCATTCTTTGAGTAATTTTACTTGATTAATTGAACTTTTGGGCCAGAGAGAGTAATATATGATTCCAACAAATACTTGTTAAACTTTAGGGGATCTGTTCTTTTGTATATCGGTTGACTTTTGATATCAGGAACTTAGATAAGTCTTTTCATATTCGATATAACACGATTACTGTTTGACTCTTTAGGAACAATACACGAGCAAACATTCACCTGTAAAGTTCTATTCAAAAGAAAAAAATGCATATTTCTAAAATAGACTCCTTTGTCAGAGTTTTTTTATTTGGACCAAATTAAAAAAAAAAATTTGAAAGATAACAGTCCACTTTTGATGCTATATCATAGGTAATTGTTTAAAAAGATTAACAGAAAAGTTTGAGAATCACATCATGAATATTGAGGTTGAAACCTCCCCCCACTCATAAAAAAAAATATTCACAGAAACAATGAATAGAGACAAAATAAAAATTAAGAATTGTTGGAAAGGAAATAGATAATTTCATTTAATTTGTTTAAATAAACATCACAGGTTTAACTGAGCAAATTATTTAAAATTTCTCTTTAAATCCGGGAAGTGAGGCTGACTCTAATTTATGACTGTTTGCATGCTTATGACATTTTACAGCTTGCATGCAATACATTGATTTCAAAGCATATGCATTTTATTGTTTGTCAATCTTTCTAAAAGTATTCAAAGTATTTGACAAAGTACAAGCAAAAATACATGGGACATTTGGTCTCCTTGCCTGATACCTTTATTAATAAATTTCTATATAACTGTCACAACCTACGTAGATAGTGTACATGTCTGCCTTGTAACATTATGTAATATGTTTTGGTGTTTTTTTCACTGTCAATTTAACTATGATATGGATCTAATGATAGGAGCTTTTACATTTCTGAATTAAGACCCATTTGATGTGATGATCTCTGAAAGGAGAATTTCAAGGTTAGTTTATTTAAAGTGTTCTTGTGGTTTTCGTAAACTTACGTTGTTTTTTTTCGATGCATATAAATGATTTTGAGATAAAACCTGACGACTCCTACGTAAATGAAAAGCTAAGAAATCAATAGTTGCAGTAAACGGGGTATGGTTTCCTTAATTTTGAGGTAATTTCAGTTTCGGTTTCAGATTAAGTAAGAATAGAGATTGTAAAGTAATTTGAATTGCATCTAGAAGTACATATCATTTGCCATGGGTAATGTTAAATGAATGTATTTGTTAAGAATGTAATATTTTTTGTAAATTTAAGTTGGTGCCTAAAGCATGTTGTACAATAGATATGTCATGTGAGTGCAGAATGATGTATTCTGTACAATTGCTAGTTCAAAACTGATATTAATTACATATTTATATTAAATTGTTATTATCCTTAAACATATATTATTCATCAAAAGGGAGTTACTAGTATTTTAGTCAAAAGTCAGCAATGAATGAAATTGTAATTTCCATTGATAACTCGATCAGATCTGTAGATATATATATTCTTATTTTAAAGCAGTCAATTGTATTGGTATACTAAGGATGTTAAAGATGATTTCAACTACATGTATAAACCCTTAATTCCCGTAATTTCTATTGTCTTGTATTCTCGATCTTCATTTTGCTAGCATTATATGTTAAATGAATGGACAAGCATTTAAAACAAACAAATTTTAGTTAAGTCAGCAATGTTCCTTTAAATTAATTTTTTTATTATGAAACTTATAAAGCACATTTTCAATGGCAATTTACACAGAAATTAGTTAAAAAGTGTTATTTCAAAGATATAAATTATTTAGCACTTTTGTCCTTGAAATTGACATGACCTTTTCTTTTAACTTTTTCCATTTATAAAGATTCAAATATTTAGATAAATCCCAAATTATTAAAATCCTGCATAGGGATATATTTAAGTTCATAATTTAAATTTTAAAAGTACTTTCACTTTAAGCCTTTTATTGCAGTAATTACGTACTTCTCGTTCCATGTTTATCTGTGGTTTTTGCTGGTAGCTAAAACTTGAAATATACAAAGAAAGACTTTTCATTAAACATGCACCTATAAATTTTACTTATAAAAGACACATTAAATGAAATCTTTTTAGAAAATTTTGATCAATATTTACACTTTATTAAATGACAAATTAGAATTTTTTCGGTCTGGCAGTTTCTACAAGGTTATTAAAATTAAATGCATGTCAGATCAGGTATGAGAACACAATGATGTGATCTATAATTATTAATTAGACAATTAATGACATTATAACATGCTTTTGCATGTTAATGGGATGAGATTGAAACAAGTTAAACCTTAACATGGGTTCTTTTCAAGGACATTGGTGTAAAGGTACTGTTGTGACAGATTACGTAATATGCAGTGACAGCATACCTATGGTTCTATAGAAAATATGTACATTGTTATGAGTTTCCTGGGAAACATATAAGAAACATCCGGGAAACAGCATCTAAACATACAAATAAGTTGTTGTTCAAAAGATTTTAAACTGAAAGAGTGTTTTATGCAAGTGTAGGGCACTTCTAAAGTTGTTAAAACTCGTGAACTTGACTTAGCTGTAGAAAATTAAACAAAGCTTTCATGTTCAAAAAATAATCCAAACTGATAAATTTGTCTTCTACAACATGAAAGTCTTAAAGTGCATAGAAAAATTAAGTTATTTCATGGACATATAATATAGATTATTATTTACTAAAATATTAAAAAAATATTGACATTTTAGTTATTGAATATTACCAGATTACACTTTACATTGAATGTTGTCTTATTTTCTTTTTCAGTGGTTCAAGAACTAGGCGTTATGATAAAACTCCTTCAGTAAGTTCTTCAACAGAAGGTAGTATACAGTCATATCAAACCGCAGAAAGTAGAGAATTGAGAGAGAGCGCCACTGTACAGAATGAAAAGGGGGATAATCAGTTACCAATGGAACAAGCAACAACCCCCACAACAAAGCAGGTGAAAGAATGGCCAACGATGGCCGATTTGTCGCAAAAACAAATATTACCTAACAAATATGATGGTAACCAAGGTTACTTCAACCCTCATCTGTCTCCATCTAAATCGTCTCCGAGTCTCGACAAGGAGGAGCCACATCATGTGAAAACTGGGAATTACACGTCACCTTTAATGAATAAATCTAGTCCGAATATCCATGACGACGTTAAAAAATCCACACCATCATCATCATCATCCTCATCGTATTTAGCAAATCAAAAATGGTTTTCACCGAGTGCCTTCCAAAAACAGTCACCAAGACAATATCATAGTAGTAATAACTTTTATCAGTCGTCACCACAATTCACAAAACATAATCCAAATGACTATCAAAACTTACAAGATATACAGCAAAGCATTAACCAACCTAATGTAATGTCATATAATCTTCCTACACCAGTAGAAAAGGAGGAAAGTGACCCAGAACTTCAAGGGCTTACAAAGGGGGATAATCGTCCCTTGTGTTCTCCGCCAGCTCCACCAACCAGAGATATATCAAGTTTAAAATATGTGCCATTAAGTAACCAAAGTCATGCTAAATATCCGTCGTGGCCAGTAACACAACCAAGTGCTGATATAGAAAGTGGCGAGCCTATTAATGCACCACTAAGTTTGTTAAATGAACACAATCCAAATCAAAATAATGTTAGAGCATTAAAGGACAGGAATAGTCCTAATTCTGAACGAAAAGCTAGTGACAGAAATGCAAGCGACCCTGGGTTCAAGAAACCTATTCCGTTTGCTGTCTTTCTCAAAAGACCAGATCAAAGACACCAACAATATGGAAGCCATGTTCAAAGTGATAGGAAAGACACTGATTCAAAAATGAATGAATTTTTTGAGAGTTTACCAGGATATCAACAACCAATCTTTGACCAGGATGGTCATCGGTTCGGGGATGAAAAATACAACGTGTCCCCACCAGAAAGAGAGAGTGATGGGAGATATCCATCACAAAGGGTGTCAAATAAAACAACAGATAACAGATACACCCCTCAATATAGAATCTACCAGGAGCCTGTAAATTCATCACGGATAACAAGAGATTCGGGATCAAATCCATTACTTAGTCCAGATAAGGACTCTAAACCGTCATTCAGTGACTTGAGGTACTCGGATAAATCATTATTACAAGTTACACCAGACAACAAATTTACAGACAGTAGCACAAGTCCTATGCAAAGTCCTAAGGATTCCAAACTTCCACATGGGTCTAAGGATAATTATCCTGACAATGTTCAAACAAGTATATACGATCCGAAAAACAATAGTTATCTTGTGAAGAAAACTATGGTGTGTTATACAACAGGAACACAGACGGAATTCAATTCACCGAGGAAGAAGTCGCCATCATCACCAGGATATAATATGCATTTTCCTTTTGATAAGTCAAACCAAGCAATTCAAACTTCTCCCGAAAACACAAACAAGGATGACGACTTTGTTCGCATGCGTAAGAGTTCTCGAGATAGACACGAGGAAAGTTACGAATCTCGACCTAGACCAAAGAGCACTAGTGAAAAGGATAAAATTTTATTAAATAATATTAATTCAGAACTTGATTCAAATGATCAGCATTCTGCACCGTTTATGAGAAAACTTGCACGTGATTTATTGGCTAATCAGAGCCAGGAACATAAAAGACGATCAACAAGTTCTAGTGGTGGTAGTGGATTACGTAGTCCAAGCTCAGACTATTCTCATTATTTTGGTGAACTGAGAGAATCAGGATCTTACAGTAGTGTTATAATTCATGATGATTTGTCTGAAGCTGAGAGTGCAACATCTTCTAAACCTGATGGAACATACGATAGTGAAAAACAACATTTACATCAGTTTGAAAAGTTGAAAAGTCCAAGACGTAGTCTTGATCCTTCAATGTTTTCACAAAAACTTAGTAGTCGTGGCTTACAAAACTCTAGGTATGGATCAGAAGCACAATTGGTGAATCAAAGTCACAAAGATCATACATCAAGTATGATCAATTTACCAAGATCAGCTAGGGAAGATTCTCGACCTAAATTTTCTAGGCCAAGTACGGATTCATCCACGCCATCACATAAGACAGGAAGTTCTACTGATACCTTTTCATCAACTAGTACCCACTATAGTTTTGATACTTCTCCTGGGCCATATGTTCCAGGAATACCAGGACCAACACAGCATTCAACTAGAAGGGAATCAAATGATTCAGTCTTTGTTGATGAAAAGTCTCCATTTGAGAAAAAGGGAGATAACTTCAAAGATTTTAAATCCCAAATTAACAATGACAAAAAATCAAAAACAACTGCTTGGGTAGGTAGAACACAATCAATGAAAAAGGCTTATGGAGTATATGATGAAACACATAGCTTGATTCACAAGAGACAAGAAAGTGAAGTCTCGTCAAGTTCTAGTGAAAATCATCAATTTATTCATAGTCGATCGCAGTCTGATACAAACTATTTGCCAATGAATGAAATCAGATCAAAACAAAATAGTGATAAAATGCTTGGTGCAATTAATGAAGAAACATCTGAAGCAAGATGGCAAGATGCTCTTAGAAAGTCAAAGTCGAGAGAAATTTCATATGAACAAAATATTAGTGAACTAGATGTTAAAAAGCATGTGAACGAAAAATTACGTGAGTATCAAAATAAAACGGAAATGGAAAGAACAAACTTAAAAAGAACATCATCTGAACAGTTTAGACCGATGAAAGAAAGAATGGCAAATAAAACCCATTCAGAATCTAAACTTGATGAACCAAAACAACACTTATTACCAAACAAAGATCTGGATATGCGTCAAGCTAAAGTTACAAAATCTAACTCTAGAGAGAAAATTTCGCAATCTCCGTCTCAGTCTCAGACTGATTTACGCAGTCCTTCAAGTTCTGATTCTTCTAGGAGAAGCAGTGATCGACTTCCTTCTCCTTCTAGTTCTCGGTTAGATTTGCGACCTGACTCTAACAGTGGTAGCGATAAGAAATCGCCTTCTCCGTCATCATCACGTGCTGATTTAGTTGGTTCCAGAGATGATCTAAAACGTGCTCAGAAAAATGCTCTGCAAAATTTTATGCTTACAAAAACAGGTAGATTACCTTCAGATGAAGAAGAAAAACTGCATCAACATCAAAATAATGGGAATGGACAAAGCCAACCTGATCGTCCAACTAGGTTGTCTGTCACGGAATCTTTTCGTAAAAAATATGCAGAGGGTGATAAATTACGAAGGTCAAGGTCAATATCGTCAACGGATAGTGGAAATTACACAGAGATGAGACCACCTATGCGTCCACAGCCGACAGAATGGTCGAGAATGAGATCCCAGACGAGACGACCTCAGTCTATTGGTTCAGATTCTGGTTCTAGTTTGGTTGACCCCTATGCTGTTACACCAGTTATTTCGTCTTCCTTTGATCACCAACGAAGCGATTCGTTAGAATCACCCAGGGTAGAAGAGGTATGGTTGATATCAAAGGAAAATAGTCTTTGTACATATATTTTTTTATGATGAGATTTTTTAAAAATCACTGAAAAAACAACAATCATACTTCATAGGGTAGAGATATTTAGCTGTTGGATAATTTGCTTAAAGTCTGAAAAAAGATAATGTTGTTACAAAATGAAGACCATAATAAAATTTTGAAGTATTTATCTTAATTACAGTAAGTAAACAACATTATGTTTCCTTTGCTTTGCTCATCCAAACATGAAATTTTTCTGATTACTTCAAAATAAAACAACTGAAGACTTGTATGGATTGAGAGACGCAACAGCAAATTATTAAGTCCTAAATATCAGCACAGTCCTTGAATCACAATCTACAAATACAAATAATATGAATTGGAAAAAGAAAATCTTATAATAATAATAATAATAATAATAATAATTCTTTATTTAAAGAGGGTTACACAGTTAGCTATAAAACTAATCTTCCCTGAGGCCCTCATGAAATACAATGAAATATAACAAACAATTACAAAATATCAAACAAACACACATATATGAAAAAAAGAAATAAAAAATTGTTATGAAATATTATATATTCAAAGGCATTATAATATTAAGTACATCTGAATATAACTGTTGAACTGGCTTGGTGTTTTCTCAATAATTAGAAAAAGGCAACAAAAGAGTTATATAAAGGTATAAAACTGAATAACTTCTTAATATTACCCAAAGATAAGTAAAATTAAATATTTTAATATATAAGAAATATTAGTAAATTAAGTGGTTTAAAAAAAAAGATTGCTGCAGCACTTGTAAATAAAAAAATTAGACTTTAGTTGTCAGGTTAATTCTGAAAGACCCTCCTTCTTTCTTAGCTATTCCTTGCACATTTTGAGTGAAACAGTACAGATTGTGTGAAAGAATATAATTTTATCAACCTGTATGTGTTTACTTAAATTAATGAACAAAGGGAGATAACTCTATTTGTGATATGTTACAGATGTCAAAAGATTTACAGTCAAGTGGAGATACAACACCACACAGGTAAGTCAACCAGAATTAAATTATTTTATTTTCAAAAGTCCAGAGTCAGAAAGCAAGACAACAAGAGGTAGAAGATCTTTGAATTCATTCTTGGAATATATTTAATTTTGTTAGATATTTTGCTGTGGAACTATGTGGACAAACCTACACAAGTGTGAAATTTTCCTGATCATCATCATGTTTTCATATATCAGTTTGCAAAATTGATTCACATAGATTGTTTAAAATGTTAATTCTGCAGAGTGCAAATTTTCTCAAGGTCTTCCTGGCTTCCAGTGTCTAGCAATGTATTACAATTCTGAGTGAGTTCCAAGTAGATTTGCTGACCCCCAAATTTTTAAAAATGACAGATTTCTATACATTTGTTTGATTGATTGAAACATTACTACTTTATTTCTCCTACTACAAATAAGTTTTTGATTGTTGGTTGGTACCATGAAATTCCCCTGAAATTATAAAAGTTTAAAGCAGTATTTTTTAGATTTAATTTTGAATGTATTACGTCTTCGTTCGATTGATATCTTCGGAAGTTCTGTTACATTGAAAAAATATCATTACAAAACTACATTTAGATTTTTAAAAAGATTAAATGTAATTTCTGAGTGAAATATGATACTATTCTGTGTATAATTCACTTGAGGAAAGTAGTTTAGCAAGCAGATCTGGTTTAAAGTTAATTCGTTCAAACAGGTTGAATGTCCTTCCAAAAACTAACAGAAAACTTAGAAAATATATAGTACTTCAACATTTACTTGTTGTTTTAGGTCAAAACTTGACTCTTTAGATGTGCACACACAATCTTGTAAAGATTATTATCAAGTTTTAATCTCTTCCATAAATTTGATGAACACTTGAACTGACCGTAAGTGACATACATCTGTCTAATAAACACTCAACAAAATTGTAACTTTAACGTGTCATTTTGTAAAATTTAATAAAAACGTGCATTTATGCAAGTTGATGAAGTATTTAAAGTAATTATGCTTATAGAATGTCCTCTTGTTTCTTGTTAAATGAATGTTCGTGATTTGACAGAAAAAAATTCACATGAATACTTGTTTGTTTTATACAAGTGTATAAGTACTCGAGTCGAGATGGGCGATAAGTTGTCCTGTCATCACTTTTGTTAAAGGGTTAAGTGAATTTTAAGCATTTAGATGGCATTGACATGCAGATATCACTAATAGATCTTAAAAGTCTTTTTTTTTTGGCCTTGTCTGAGATTCTGAGAAGTAGTGTATAATTTTACCTGTAAAAAGTAGTTTATTCATTTTGTTTAAATTCTAAAGGTTTCAAACAAAAAAGTTTGAAGTATTGAGTGTTTAATATTATAAAATTTTACATATATATGTTCTAAAATGCATTTTGATAAGTGTGCTACATTTTCATGATTTAGACATTCTATAAGGACAAGGAAACATGTCCCGATAATAATTCAGTCACCTCGTTACTCCGGGTATGTACACAAAATGTTTATAATATTTATTCCTTAACATAAGACCTGTGGTGGACTAACTGTTTTATAATTACATTAATGAGTTGTAATCAGTATTGTTTATTTTGCTTTCTAAACTTCTAAAAGGTGGTTGCTGATATTTTTAAAAATGTTAATAGAGGGGAGATAACTCAAATTTTAATCTTGGTTTATTTGGTTTGGTTGCATGTATTACATTAGGATATCTGTTTAGCCTTAATGTTAGTTGATTATTATTTGGAAAATTTATAGGTATTGTAATGGTGGTGAAAATGACATTCAATTGTACATGTTATGAAAAAGGAATGTAGAGCCTATACAAATGTTTTCAGTTTAGAGGAACATCTCCCATTCTGTGACAATAGATTATCATAAAAAATGTATTATTATACCCCATGCAGTAAAGTAGTGGAGGATATACTACTTTTTAACCTGTCATGTATTTGTCATTACCTGGATATTTTCTGTATTTTATTGTCAGATCCCCTTCAAATTTGAAAACTATAATTTGTTTATTCTTATAAAAAATTCTATAGTAGGAAAAACAGAACTTGGAATCAATTTAGGACTTACGAATATCTGTGTCATCACATTAGTATTTGTGAAACTTCGGAAGCATTTCATTGAAGGTTTACTCTTATGGATAACTTTGGTTATCAGAAAAAAAATAAAATAAAAGAACTTTCACATCACCATAGATAACTAACTAATTGTCTTCATTTAATTAAAAACTTCTCAGTTTGAATGGAAGTTTACTTTTATCAAAACCTTAGAATGAAGTTCCTTATTTTGGAGAGGGGGTCCTTTTTTTTTGCATTGATGTAAGCTTTTTGTAACGGCTTGGGATACACCTGGTTCATCATTTAGAAACTGTACTTTTACAACAACTCATACAAAGGGCTTTGATCTATTCAGAAGTTTTCACAAGTGCTTGTAAATTATATAATAAATTTTCTACTTCATCTTAAAATTATTTTTGTTTTACCATAAATTTAACTTTTCTTTGTTTGAATAATGAGATTTATATTTAAAAAAAGACCTTTTAGATTTAATGAGAGGCATCCTCATAAAAAGTTAACAATTCTGCTTTGACTTTTGGTCTTAAGGTCATTGAACTGACCATTTTAAGGATGTTGACCACAAACTTTATACATTCATCTGTTGATTTTAATGATATCTTTATTATCATAAAATTAGAAATGCGAAATTTTAAATTGAATTTCAGTGTTATAATTTATTCCCTGTCTGGTTTTCCATTAACTTATTAAGATAAATGTCCTTAAAAGATGATATTGGTAACCGTAGTTAAACATTCTTAGACTTAAGCCATGCTCATGTTCAGGTAAGCTGTTTGTCTGGAATATTATATTCATTTCAATGATAAAATCTTTTTGGTAATTTTTTATTATTATTTTTTTTTTAAAGTAGTTTTGGATAGTACATGTAGTTTCAATACAAAAAAAAACATTGATCAGCGAAACCTGTCTAAGAGGAACCCTTCTCAAATGTAAACTGAAGCTATTTATTTTACATGATTTAACCAAACACTGGTTCTTGTTTTATGTAATTGTTCATAGGTTTATCATGGCATTATATGGGTGCAAATATGGCTAAATGCTGCAGGTTTTTCGATGTTTCAAAACGTCCATAATCTGGTTAAAAAAAGCCATCTGAAATCTGGCTATTTTGCTTATCATAATAGCAGACTGTAAATAAGTTGCGGATCCTTAAAACTTTGAAAAACTTTCCCACTATCTTATCCCGGTGTACAACTGTATGGTCGTTTTTATGCCCCCGCCGTAGCGGAGGGGGCATTAAGTTTTACCCTTGTCCGTCTGTAAGTACGTCCCAAAGTTGGTTTCCGTTCTCTAACTTTAGTTTGCCTCAACCAAATGTTATGAAACTTATACACAATGCTTATTACCACTAAATACAGATCAAGTTTGAATTTTGGTGGTGTTACTTTTACCGTTCTAGAGTTATGCCCCTTTACAAATGAAAGGAAAAATTGCTAAATTTTTCGTTTCCGTTCTCTTACTTAAGTTTACCTCAACCAAATGTTATGAAACTTATACACGATGCTTATTACCACAATATACAGATCAAGTTTGAATTTTGGTGCCGTCACTTTTACTGTTCTAGAGTTATGACCTTTACAAATGGAAGAATTGCTAAATTTTTCATTTTTTTTCTTCTAATTTTTGGCATATAAAAGTCTTTTGGGAGTTTTTTTTTAAGTTCTTAAGAGCCTTTGGCAGAATTCATTTATGTCCTATTATTTAAATTAAAAATGAATGCAATATATATCACAGGATTAACATTTGCATAATAACAAATCATATTTAATTTTTAATTAATAGTAATAGTAATATTCTACTATATAACATGTACTGGTATCTCATTTGCATAATTGTGGGTTATCAAGATTGGGAATAATAAATGTGCATAATGAAATCTGATTTGACAGTATTTATACAAATGAGAAAAAATTATGTCAAAATTAAATGAATACAAATTAATTTAACACTTAAAATGTAATTAAAGGCTGCTAAAGTGAGACCTAAACTAACAGTAGTTGCATCCTTGGCTACGTTTGTAGAAGGACCTTTTTTTTGACAAAAAAGGAAAGATGGATAATTTATGCTCGGATGTTTAAAAGAATGTGTATTTAGTGTAGTCATCCTGTTGTATATGGTATAAATATGACATAGTATATAGATGGAATGTGATAACAGGTGTACATCTTCACCTGGTAATTAATTCAGGTGTAAAATTTGAGGTCTTGTAAAGGGCTGAAACAATGGAATGTTAAAAACAAAAGATGCGGCTTTCTCCATGAAACATGCATTTCTCTGTTAGTGGCTTAACCTGTATGATTCTTAAGAAATTTTTTTCTGAGCATATATCTGTCTGGTTTGTTCTACTATATATGTAGGAGCCAACCTTAATTGGGAATTTACAATTTGTATACAATTGTTACTGTAAATTTATTTTCTTTGAAGAAGTTTATTCTTTCATGTACCCTTTAATTCGGTGGGTTTGAGAACTCTGCACACAAACTTAAAGGAAGAATAGTATTTTGTTGTTCATAGTTTTTCATCCACAAAATCAACAAGAAGTACTATCCAAAAATAATAACAGAGTCCACAGTTTCACACCATATCACTGGCTTAATTCAGGCATTGCAGATGCAATACAGGTAATAATACACAGATCTGCTGAACAGGATGGCAAATTATTCATTGTGTCGCAATGGCAATTAAAACAGGAGACTCAAATCTGCTCTACTTGTGAACACAGATCATATTGAATATGCCATAGGAGTAACAAGTATATTAAAACATTTTCTCTAATTTTTATGCTTTTTTCACATTTCACGATCATTGTGAGATTCATCTCTTGAGAAAACTTTGTTCTCGGCAAATGATTGGTTCAAATTTAATTATGACGTCAAATGTTCTTGGTTTCTTCTGAATTTCTTATTGTCATGTCATGAAAAAAGGCGACCATGTTTGATGACGTCACATATAAAGAACACAACTTTCTGAAAATCTTTGAAAAGGAAGGATAAACTTTGTTTAAATATCGTCTAAAATCATTAGAAAAACAGATTCCACCACTATAACTTGTGTACTATGATATTTCTCCACTCTCAACAGTTGAATTTTAATTATTTAAAAAGCTCAGCAAGCCTCACTCTTTAAATATTAAAATTTAACTGTCTCAAGTGGAGAAATATTGTTACACACTTGGTGCAGCGGTGGAATCTATATATCTTTGACAATGTGCAGCATAAGGTAATTTTTAAGACAATATTTCTGACCAAATCTTAAAATACCTTTGATGACAAATCCCATAGCAATTCCAACTTTATTCTTAATCTTTTTTAATTAGTAGCATATATAGTTAGATATCATCAATTAAATATAGATATTAAAAGATTGTTGATGGCTGATTTTATCATCATAAGGTTTATCTATTGTTCTTAACTAAAATGTTAAAAACATGTCAGGTTAATACAAAGTAAAGCTGTCATTGTATATACAGTAGTTAACCTATGTTATATATTTATGGCCTGTGAAATCTATAAAGGGACTGAATAGAATCAAATTGTTTAAATTCTTCATCAAGGGTCTTTAGAATGTATTATAGATTTAACTATTTGAATTTCTAACTATGTTTTAAAGGTTTAATATTGAAGTTTAATATTCACATGTTTCAACATTTTATTTCATCCAGTTTTAAAATGACAATCATGTACTTTTAAGAATATTTTTTTCAAATTATACAGAATAACCATATATAAAAAGAATTTTGAAATTTAAACTGTATTGTGGAGGCCATTAAAAAACTTAACCCTTCCATAGTATTATGAATGAAAGTTGGATTAGATTCGTCCAGTATAGTATGCAATTAGTCCGGTTTCGACAGGTCGCACTGAAAATATTATATCTATAACCAGAAGTTTTAAAATACACATACTGTATGCGCCTGTCCCAAGTCAGGAGCCTGTGATTCAGTGATTGTCGTTTGTTGCTGTCAATCATGTTTGTTTTTCATTTATTGTTTTTGTACATGAATCCGGTTTTTAATTGTTTAACATTTTTCATTTTGGGGCCTTTTATAGTTTACTATGCAGTATGGGTTTTTCTCTTTGTTGAAGGCTGTATGGTGACCTATAGTTGCTAGCTTCTACGTCATTTGGTCTCTAGTGGAGTGTTGTCTCATCGGCAATCATACCACATCTTCTTATTTCTATATAGGATAGTTGTCTGTTATGTTAATACAAAATTTAATTTGGAGGATATTGTTCAAAGAGAAACAGCTTTATATATACATGTACTATGTGTAATTTGGTGAATGAAAAATATGCATTTGAAATCATGGTAGTATGCATTCAGTGCTCAATCTAGCAACATATTTTAGCCTTCTTATACCACACGATGCTATTAATTATTACAAACGTTGTATTATTTTCTGCA